TATTGCCCTGGAAAGAGACAATGTGCTAGAAGGTCCAAAAACACAATCTATTTGGTTAGAGTTAAGGAGCAGAAAAGGAGCTGTTACTCTGTTAGGTGTATACTCAAGACCACCAAATCCACCAAAGATAGATGAGCAAATCTGACAAATCTGTCAGATTTCAGAAAGATGCAAAACCAATAGAGTAGTGATAATCGGGGATTTCAATTATCCTAACATAGACTGGCAAAATAACAGTGTAAAGGGCAAGGAGGGGGAAGGATTCCTGAAATGTGTGCAGGATACCTTTCTGGATCAGTGTGCTTCCAGCCCAATGAGGAAGAAAACAATGCTGGATCTAGTTCTGGGGAATTAAGTGGGCCAAGTGAAGCAGGTTCCTGTAAGAGAGCATCTGGACAACAGTGATCACAACATCATTAAACTTAGCGGAACAATCAAAGGTGAAGATACTCAACTTGAAGAGGGTTAATTTCAGTGAGTTAAAAAGGGACCTAGCCAAGGTGGACTGGAAAGAAAGATTGGCAGGTAAAACAGCTAATGAGCAATGGGAAGCCTTCAAGGAGAAGATAGTTCAGGGACAGAACAAATACATTCCCACAAAGGGAAAAGGTAGGGCATCCAAACCTCCCTGGATGAATAAGGAAATTGAGATTAAAATAAAATAGAAAAAGGAGGCTTATGATAAATGTCAGGTCCAAAATACAAAAGATAATCAAATAGAATATAGTCTTGCAATCCTCAGGAGTACAGACGAGAACTGAAAAAGGTAATAAGAGGGGCAAAGAGATTGTATGAGAAAAGATTAGCGGGTAACATAAAAGGGGACTCTAAGGAATTTTATAAGCATATGAAGAATAAAAGGTTAGTCAAAAGTAGGGTGGGTACAATTAGGGACCAAAGAGGAAATCTTCTTGTGGAGGCAGAGGGCATGGCTGATGTACTGAATGAGCACTTTGCATCTGTCTTCACAAAAGAAAAGGATGCAGCCAATGCTGCAGTATCGGAGGAGAGGCTAAAAAAATTGGATAAGATAAAGATAAACCGAGAGGAGGTACTAAAAAGGTTATCGGTGCTCAAGGTAGATAAGCCACCTGGTCCAGATGGGATGCATCCTAGGTTACTGAGGGAAGTAAGGGTGGGAATAACGGAGGCTTTTGTCACAATCTTTGAATCCTCCTTGGACACGAGATGGTGCCAGAGGATTGGAGGATTGCAAATGTTACTCCCCTGTACAAAAAGGGGCCATAGGATAAACCCGGGAACTACAGGCCAATCAGCCTAACGTCAATAGTGGGGAAACTTCTAGGGACTATAATCCGGGACAAAATAAATTTTCACTTCGAAAAGTATGGATTAATAAAGGACAGCCAAAAGGCAAATCAGGTCTAACAAACCTGATAGTTTTTTGATGAAGAACAGAGTGGGTGGATGAACGTAGTGCAGTTGGTGTTGTTTATATGGATTTTCAAAAGGCACTTGATAAAGTGCCACATAAGAGACTTGTAAACAAAATAGAAGCCGATGGTATTAAAGGACAGTGGCAGCATGGATACAGAACTGGCTGAGAGACAGAAAGCACAGAGTGGTGGTGAACGATTGTTTTTCTGACTGGAGGGAAGTGTGCAGTGGTGTCCCCCAGGGGTCGGTATTGGGACCACTGCTGTTTTTGATCTATATAAATGACCTGGACTTAGGTATAGGGAGTACAATTTCCAAGTTTGCGGATGGTACTAAACTAGAAAAAGTAGTAAACAGTGAGGATAGTAGCAAACTGCAAGAGGACATAGACAGACTGGTAAAATGGGCAGACATGTGGCAGGTGAAGTTTAATGTGGAGAAATGCAAAGTGATGCATTTTGGGAGGAAAAATGAGGAGAGGCAATATAAGCTGATGGTACAATCTTAAAGGGGGTGAAGGAACAGAGAGACCCGGGGTTCGTATAAGTAAATCTTTTAATGTGGCAGGACAGGTAGATAAAGCTGTGAAAAAAGCATATGGGATACTAGACTTTATACACAGGGGTGTAGAATAAAAAAGTAGGAAGTTATGACGAACCTTATAAAACACTGGTTAGACCTCAGCTAAAGTACTGTTTTCAGTTCTCGGTACCACACTTTAAGAAGAATGTCAAAGCAGTGAAGTGGTTCAAAGGAGATTTACCAGGATGGTACCAGGAATGAGGGACTTCAGTTATCAGGAGAGGCTCGAGAAGCTAGGATTATTCTCCTTGGAGCAGAGAAAGTTAAGAGGAGACTCAAGAGAAGTTTTCAAAATTATGAGGGGATTCAATAGGGTGAACAAGGAAAAACTACTTCCACTGGTGGGTGGGTCGGTAACCAGAGGCCACCAATTTAAATTATATGTTAAACGAAACAGAAGGGAGGGTGAGGAAAAAATCTTTCACACAGCGAGTTGTTCAGATCTGGAATGCAATGCCTGAAAGGGTGATGGAAGCTGATTCGATAACAGCTTTTAAGAGAGAAGTAGATTATTATTTGGGGAGGACAAGTTTGCAGGGCTATGGGGAGTGAGCGGGGGAGTGGGATTGATTTGGATAGCTCTTTTCAAAGAGCCGGCAGAAACACGATGGGCCGAATGGCCTCCTTCTGTGCTGTATAATTCTATGATTCTTCTATAAGGAATGATTCACTTAAGAAACTGCTTGATGCTGTGATGGGAGGATGGTAAAATGGAAGGAAGAGATCAAATGATCTGAAGGATCTTTTTCGGGCAAACATTTCATGAATCTTGAGTCTTGCAAAGAAGGGATCTTTCTATTAACTGGAAGCATGTCACTTTAACCGTGAGAACTTCACTTCCGTATGATCTATTTCTGCAGATTGGCCAGAAATGCTATCTCTGTAGGACAGCAGGAATAATAAGATAATATAAATATGGAAAAAAGGAAAGTTTTTTTTTAAGTAAGTGTTATTTATTTTGTATGTAGCAAAATCAGAGATTCAGGCTCAGTAGCTTCAACATATTTCTACCATATATCCAGTACTTGCACACTTTCTGCAGTTGGTCACATGTGGGATTTGTAAATAGGGTGATGACTCTTCAGTCAACATAATAAGCAGCAGGCAAAGCCATTAAATAATTGTGATGGTTTACACTGCAAATGTTGCTGAATCTGCATTAATATCAGTTGAGTTTGGTCAGAGCAGGGTGGCAAATTGCTGGTTTGACTAAAAATGTTACTAATATTTTTAAGGACATGTAGCGCAGGTTTAAAATAATACCTGATATGAACACTTTAATAATTGTTCTTACATATATAGTTCTCACATTCTATATATAATATATAATATACAAATACAATCTATATATATTTATATATATATTTAAATTCAGAAACATTATAACCAATGGATCAAATTTAAACAAAATGGGGAGAAGGGATTTTTTTTGGTCCAATTTATTTTCCTTTAAAGTTCATAGAACAATTCATTGCTGCAGCCTAGATACAAGTTATTCAGCCATTAGGTTTTTCTCCACATGAGCCATCCACTCTCCTGCTTAATGTCAATATGTTTTGTTTTAAATATTACTTCATTATTCCTCCTCTTCAAATATCCATCTCTTCCTTTCCAAAATAATTGATTGGAATCTACCTCAATTTGTTTGCGCCAGACAATTCCATATCCTGTCTAAGAAATTGTTCCCAAATGCTTTTTAACAATTTTATTACATGTTATCACGTTTTTGAAGAATCTCAAACTGTTTCATAGAATTTACAATAAATTGTACTGAATGTGTATTTGTATACAAACAAATTATCAAAATTGTGCACAACAATGTCCCACAAGCAACCATAAAGTGAATCAGAAGCACAATTCACATGCATATATAGTCCTTTCATATAAGGAGCACAGGAGCACATTGCTTCATGCAACTGACTAGGAGCTGAAGAGAAAGAAAGATGTTCAAAAGAGAGGACAAAGAGATAGATCTTAAGATGAGTTTTGAAGGCAGGGAAGGGAAACTGGGATGGAATATGAGAGAAAGAGCCCACAGATAGTGAGGCAGCGCAGGTGGGGAATAGGAAGCATGTCAGTAATTGCTGAGCAGAGGGAGAGGCCAGGGGATTAGAGCTGCAGAAGATCCCATTAAGGTGGTACAAGGCCATGGAGACATCCAAAAATGAGCATTCAAATTTTGGATTTAATCTGCTTGGGGATGGAGAGCTATTGAAGCAGAGGGAGGATGGGGCGATAGGATCATGGTGCCTAGTGCAGGAGACGACTGGGCTGCAGATTTATGGATGGTCTGCCCCTTTATAGGGAGGTGGTGGGGGTGGCACGGAGGTCGTAAAGATAATAGAAAACAAAAACAGAAGTCGCTGGGAGCACTCAGCAGGTCAGGCAACATCTATGGAGAAAGGAAAATGAGTCAACGTTTCAGGTCCACGACCCTTCGTCAGTCCAGGGGCATGTTGGGAGGGACAGGTTAAACGTTGACTCACTTTCCTTTCTCCATAGATTTTGCCTGACCTGCTGAGTGCTCCCAGCGACTTATGTCTTTATTTTCAGATTTACAGCATCTACAGTATTTTGTGTTTTGTAAAGATAACAGAGCCTGGAGGTAATGAAGCAGTGATTTCATGACCAATTGATCTGAGGAATGTTGGTCAGGCTATCAGGAGAAACTCCCTTCTCTTTTTAAAAAATACCACGGGATCTTCATCGCTTGGCTGAACAGGGAAGCGGGACATCAGTTTAACATCTCATCCGAAGGACAGCACCTCCAACAATGTAGCCAAAATTCCTTAGCATATGTTACACACTAAAGTTGTCAGGACCTCACTCTAAGGTGATTTATGCTGCGACTGTGTCAGCAATCTGAAGCCTCACCTTCCTGACTGTGGGCTGGTAGCAGTTAGGTAAATCTCAATCCATCAAAGCAGTATGGATACAGAGATAGCTATCTTTAATTACTACTATCCACTCTTGGACAATTCTTCACAACAAGGCAACTATACTGTCAATTAAGTACTTACCACTACTCCAAAGCGCTCAGGCTCAGCCAGGTCATCGTATTCATCCTTTAGTTCAGCCAAGAAATTCAACTGTTCCTGTTCAGGAAGCTGCTTTATCAGGTTCTGCAGAGAATGACAGTGTATTCACTGTTATGTGAAATGTCACAATCCAGACTATTGTTCCCTAACCTTTAACACAACCGGCAGCAACAAAACAGGAATTCAACATTTTATGTTACACAGCTCAGTATTATTCATCTGCATCTCATCCCATGTCATTGTCACACAGCTTTTCTTCTCAGTCCTTCATATCTTACAGAGTTTCATTGGTCAGGTGAAAGCACTGCAATATAATGATGGAGGGAGGATATCCCATATTCTTTACTAGTTCGAGAGATGGAGCTCAAACCCCGCCATCTGCTCAAACATCTGAAAAAATCTATTATTGTGGTTGTTATTTTAGGCAGTGCAAAACTGTTACTGGTTAATATGCTGAAGTCTGATTACCTAACAGTTTGACTTGTGATGATGTAGGTTCATACAGCTATAATGGCTCTTCCAAACAGTTTATGCTTGAATTTTGGGTTCAATTGTGGGTGAAGAAATAAAACACTGAACTTTGTAGGTTTTAATTGACACGGAAAGCACCAGATTACACTTAGAAAATATCCAAATCACTTCTGATTAGGAAATAATACAAACCATTTAAAAAATAACATGTCCAAAGTAGAATTAAACACTCCTTGTTATCATTGTTATCATTCTTGTGATTAAATCAGTTAAGAATGATTTAGAGGGTGTTAACTGTTGTTCACAGTTTGCTGTCTTGAGTGTTGCTGTTGGAAGCAGATTCATGAATACCCATGTTATTTGTCATGCCAGAAGTCTTTCTATGAAAAAAGGGTAACAAGAAAATATAGCGGAGTGAAAATTGTGAGGTGTGATGTGATAATTATGTTGTTAAAAAATTAGTTAAGTTGGCACCTTATTAATAATGATAGCAATAATCCTAGAAATCTGATATAGTGCCTTTCACGTCAGGAAGAGTGCTTCACAGGATTTACTGTAATGTGTAGTGACCAAGGATTTTGAAGCTGAACGTGACCAATGATGTGCTTATTAAAACATTGCTGAAAATGCTGCCCTGTTGATAACTGAAGAAAATGAGCTGTCCGTTGATGTAATGCCTCCTAACCTCCCTCCCACCCCTCGGCCACTGTATATTGGTTTGTCTCGATCCCACTGACTTGCCGTTTCATGCCGATTTGCGGGATATTGGCTATTTTGTTGAATTAAGTTAGTAATCTGCTCATCTGCTGACTCATGTTACAACTCAGGGGATGTCAAACCCATTGTGTCTGTGTCAGACATAGGTTCCAAGCGCTATGACGAAGGGTTGGGGGTTTGGGGAAGTTACACCCTTTGGACCAGTTGTTAGTTTTAGTTATTAACAGGATGAAATTTTCAACAATGTGTTGATTAACACTTCAGAATATTAACCACATCATGAGTACAACAGAATATCAGCTGATCTTTTTCCAGCACATTGACCCACTGCAGATTTCAATGCAAAGAGTCATACAGCAACGATTCACAGCGGGATTCATAGTTGATAGTAAAGTGTTCTGAGCCATCCTCCCGATCTGAAAAGTGCTATCTAAACGTAAATTTCTGTTGTTGATTCACAAATACAGTATTCCTGCTGGTAACTGACAGTACATCAAGGCTGATTCCTTGGAGATTTGTAACCTATTTCTAATGTTTTGGATTGACCACGCCATTATAAATTCAATATCAATTTAAATCCCACTTAGTAAGAAATTAGGATCGGGATTTTGCTGAGGATCCAGGTCCACTGGGAAGTGGGCTAAGACAGTCTAAACTCATTTAGAAAAGGATCCCAAATCAAAGAGCAGAGATGCATTCCTTCAGACAGGGCTGTATTCAAAGCCAGATCCCAGAGATGAAACAGCGGTGTGCAACCCAGTCTCAAAATCCAGTCCTTCTCTGTTCTTAAATGATTTCATGACGATTGGACTCAGCAGGTCTGCTTTGCCAATGGGCCTTGCAATCATGTCTATGGGAACAAGTCACTTCTTCACAGACACAAACATTTTTCCATTGTAATAAGATTAAACAAGGTCCAACTCATCCACACAGGCTTTTCATTTTGTTGCTATTAGTGCAGACACTACTCGAGAGGACGATGCACTGAATACAGTAAGCACGTTCAGCAGGCACAATCAATCATGAGAATATACTTCCTCAGCAGTAACTCAAGTGGACAAGCAACCAGCTTCTAATGAATTCACTGGAATCCTGTCCACAAGCTCCTGCGTGTAAAAAAAACTTACGCATTCATAGATCTTGACACGTTTTGAATGCAATTTTTCTTATTAGTAATACATTTTCACAATGTGACAGGTTTGTCATTCACTCTGTGATGTTGAGTGCACCGTTTAATTTCTGCCGGCTTTAGGTGGACTGTGGAACATTAGGCAAAAGGAGGATAGGAGTTTGCAGATATTATATATTGGTTGTCAGGGTGCAGTATTCCGCTGTATAATTGCCTGATGTGGGTTTGGGTAATATTTTGTATATTTTGGGGTTTTATATTAAGTGGTTTAAGTCTCCTGAACTGGTAGTGAGCACATATATGGGCAGAAGCAGTTTATGATGCCTCACAAATCATCCATCACCGAGCTATTTTCTGTTTACATCTTAAAGGGGTTTTAAATTCAATCGAGTAAGCTCAACTAAATAATGGTCAATACATCCACATCTGTAAGTCTGCCCCCCCATCTGCAAAATTAACTGAAACATTATAAGTAACTGAAGACATATTGTACACATCAAATTCATGCTGGTGAACTGGCGGTTTATCTGAAAAGAGAGTCTGGTATCATGCCAGAGAAAGAACATGGAGAATCCATGTCCCGATTTGCATACAAGCATCCTGATGAAGGTAGAAAATAATTATGCACAGTGACTGATTGCCAGATCAATTAATATATAGTAATCCTTGCATTTGACATAGAGTCTTAACATGTCTTCGAGAAGTCTCAAAGCACTTCACAGAATATACAGAATATATAATTGGCTGTGTATTTTGTGAGCGAAACGTGGCAGCCAATTGTGCACAGCAATGTCCCACAAACAGTCGGGGATTGAGTGACCAAATTATTATTATGATTTTTTTTTTGAAGGGATTATTATGGCCAAAAAAACGATTCACCAACGGGTTAACAACCGGGTTTCTATTTACTGCAAGGTAAACAGAAGTGTGTGGAGTAAGGAAACTTGCCCAACATTTCGCCCTGCCCGGGAATCGAACCCAGGTTCTCTCGCTTGCGAGGCGAGTGCTCTAACCACTAAATTGTTAGAGAAAATTACCCTCTCAATTTGCCTCAACTGATTTCTCCTTGCAGTTTTGTACCAGTGCACTGCTGTTCAAGTCACAGTGGAAGAACAGCCATCTGGCCATCATTACACTTGAACTTGACCTGTAGCCATAACTGATTAGCTCAGTTGGTACATTCACTGCCTGCTATGGAGCTGAGCCACATAGACCTGGAAGGTTGCAGTTTTCACGTGTTGACTTAGGCTGAGGTCTGACCGAATGCCTTTCTGACATTCACCCTCTAGGCTCACATGGGAAGAAAGATCACTTTCTTTGGAACCTACGGGAACCTCGAGATCACTTTGGTTACACCTTAGGAAATATTCCTCAAAAATCCTTTCAGCTATCCCAATTTACATCTGGATACCGTAACCAAAATAAATTTGAGATGAAAAATTTTACATTTCAATACAAATCAACTGTGAATTAAAAATTGGCTGTTGAACAATACCTGCCCCCACCCCCCCATATACACACACACCAAGACAGCTGGACATTACTCTCTCAATTGTAGCTCCAGCGTTCGACCACGCTATCCTCCTCCACCGCTTGTCCTCCCACCTCAACCTTCAAGTAACTGTCCTTGAATGGTTTAGGTCGTACCTTTCTCACCGTCTTCACTTTGTCTCGACGAATGGCTTCTCCTCCACCCCCCGCACTGTCTCATGTGGTGTCCCTCAGGGCTCTGTCCTTGGTCCCCTCCTCTTCACCCTCTATATGCTCCCCCTTGGTGACATCATCCGCAGACATGGAGTTAACTTCCACATGTATGCGGATGACACCCAACTCTACCTTTCCTCCTCTACTCTCAACTCCACGACCACCGATGTCCTGACAGCTGCCTGTCCGACATCGAGTCCTGGACGAGAGACAACTTTCTTCAGCTCAACGTGCGAAAAACCGAGGCCCTCCTGATTGGCTCACGTCAGCGCCTCCGCACCTCAGGCGCTGACAGCATCAGCATCCAAGGCTGCACTCTCCACCTCTCAAAGCCGGTCAGGAACCTCGGCGTTTTGTTCGACCCTGAGCTGTCCTTTCTCCCTCACATCCGCACTACAACTGGCACCGCCTTCCATCACCTCCGGAACATCGCCAGACTACGCCATTACCTCACCCCTCACGCTGCTGAAACTCTGGTTCATGCCTTTGTCACCTCAAGGCTGGACTATGGGAACTCTCTCCTCGCCGGCCTTCCCGCCACCTCCCTCCACAAGCTGCAGGTCATTCAGAACTCTGCAGCTTGTGTACTGTCCCGCACCAGGCTTCGGGACCACATCACTCCCACCCTCGCTCGCCTCCACTGGCTCCCCATCCCCCAGAGGATTGATTTCAAGATCCTCATCCTCACCTACAAGGCCATTCACGGCCTTGCTCCCTCCTACCTCTCCAACCTACTATCCCCCTACCTACCTGCCCGTACCCTCCGTTCCTCTGGCTCCGGTCTGCTCCACGTCCCCCGCCCCAACCGCCCTACCATCGGTGGTCGGGCCTTCAGCCTCTCAGCCCCCAGGCTCTGGAACTCCATCCCCCAGTGCCTTCGCCGCCTCCTCCCTTTCCTCCTTCAAGGCCGGTCTCAAAACCTTTCTCTTTGACCGTGCCTTCAGCTCCCCTCTCGACTCTCTTCCCCCTCCTCGCTCCCTCCCTTCCCTCCCCTCACCCTGACCATTTCCCCCCTGCTCGGGTCATGACCCAACTGTGCAGTGCCTTGGGACGTCCTCCTGAC